TGTAAATTTGTTTGAAAGTTTACTGAATTAGTTTGTGCCATTGGGTTATCCCAGTTTCGAGATCTTGTATAATTATTAAAATTTTTTCGTGGGGGATAATTTGTTTTTGATGGATGTGTGTAATTATAATTATGTTCTGCAAAATTGTTTCTAGTGAACGTTTTACGTGTTTTTGACGGTATTGTCATGGTTCTGTATGTTTGATAATCCATGTGTGAATATTTTGGGGCAACCGAAGGTTTAACGGTTGATTGTAAGGTTACTTGTGTTTGTGAAGGGTTTGTATTTCTTGGTGTTGTTAAATTTGGACGTATTGGTGAAATACTTTGTTGTGTAGTTGTTGTGTGTACGATTTCTTCATTTATGAAGTGTGATGGTGTCTGGATATCTTGTTGAGTGAGATTTCTAGTTCCATTGAGGTTTTCATTGTGTATGACTGTGGAGTTTAAACTATTATTTTGCATATCAGGTAAAAATGTATTATAGTTTAATGGTGTTGCATCAATGGTTAATGGTATTACTCTTACATAATCTCTTACATAAGATATCGTACTTATTGCTTGACTTGAGATTGATTGTGGGAAGTTTATGAATGCGGGATGAGACCATTCGGGGTCCCAAACATAGTCTGATTGTTCTGTGATGGCAGTATCATCGTTTGAGTTTTGGGGTCTAAAATTTTTTCTTGCTTGTGAAATTAAATCAATATTATGTGTGAAATAATCTATTATGAACCATGCCAAAATTTTTTGATAGTCGTGTTTTGTATGTTGTGAAACTTCATCTTTCGTGAAATTTTCTTTAATTATATTTAGAAAACTAGAGAGTAGTGTGATTTCATGTCGTACTCTTATATGTTTAGATGTTTCTGTCGGTGAAACATTTGTGATTGGGATTTCGTTTTCTAATATCGAGATATAACTATATATTATTGCAAAAACTTCATTGGTGAATATGGAGTTTGCTCTTTGTGAGTTATGATATTGTATGCTTTTTATATATTCTGAGAATACTTTTGAGAATTCTAAATCAAGGTCGTCTGTTTGAATTACATATTTGCTGTGATTCTGGTTTGGTGAGTTGAATTCTATGGAGTAGATTCCGTATTGTTGTGTTAAGTTACATATATCTTTCAAATAGTGATCGATAATTTGTCTTTTGATTTTTACATCTGGGAACTCTGTTTTACATGGACTGATTCCGGGTTCAAACAAATTTAAGAGTAAATTTTTGCAAAATATATGCTGTCCTCTATCAGTGGTTGCATCTACGATAAAGGGGAAGATATCATCATCATCTGGACTTTCTTCACCTGGGGTGTGTGTTGAGCTCATTTTTTCGTTTGATGACTGTTAATATGTAATTATCAATGTGTCTAATTGGTTGATTCCAATTGTATAAATGTACTGGTTTGTGTTTATATTGCTTTTTTATTCTTCTTTTTCCTCTTTTTGATGATTTTGAAGTTGTTTCTGAGTCGGAAAAATATAATTGATCGTGAATGGGGCAATTTTTATCATTAGATTCTTTTAATTTATAAAGTTCGTCTAAACTGCTGGTTTCTGATTCTGAAAATGCGTTGCGGTTTTTGGAAAATCTTTTTCGTGTAATTTGTCTTTGTTTGGTTATTATTTTTCTTTTTAGTGTTTGTCGTTTTGTTCTGATAGATCCAACTGTTTGTGTGTGTGGTGTGATTACAAGATCGTATTTTTTGTTATCTATTTCACAATTGTGTAAAACGATTGTTTGTTTATTTCCTAGGTTTTTAAATGACATAATGTTTAGGATGACGGATGCAAAAGGTTGTTAAATGATTTCTTTTACTTAGACTGTTAGTCCTTACGATTTTTTGGTTAGCCTAACCTGGGTCTATTTGTTCAGGGTTGGGGAGAAAAGTATATCGATTCCGAAGAATGATTTTATACTTTCTCGTGGCTAGTATAAGCTAAGGTGTTAACTTACTTAATCTTACTTAAGGGTAGTGATTGTGTTCAGGGTTGGAGAATAGTAAATCGATCCACAAGGTTCAGGTATAATTAGAACGCGAGTAGTTCGTTAGATACTATTTTAAACTTACCAAGTCTAAAATTTATCCTGGGTCTGGTAAGAGGGGGGATCAAGTGAAGAATGAATAACCGAAGTTCTTCACTGTTTATCCTAATTTGAATGATTAGTTTTGTTCAAAAATTTCTGTTAGTCCTGGGTTTTTAGAAAGGGTTGGATAGTGAATCGACGTTTGAGGTCGTTAGACACTAGCTAAGTGGGTGGGGGAGAACAAAATTGTTCTTTTTGATCCAAGGAGAGGCCTTGATGATCAAGTTTTAAATTTAATTGAATAGAAAATGATTTAAGATCCAAGGATGAGCCTTGATGATCTGATTTTAAATTTAAGTGAATTTAAGTTTAAAATGATTTAAATTTGTGTAGAGAAAAGATTTAGTGTTTTTATGATATTAGTGAGCTTATGAATGCTGTTATGTTTAGGTGATGAAGCTGGAACAACAGGATGATTTATAATTACTAACCATTTATTGTCATGCTACTAATTTTTATTTTGATTTTTCAATAAATATTTTTCAAACATGTTTTGTATATTACTGCAGAATTTAGGAAAACGATCTGAGATCTCCTTATCAATCGTTATTGTATATTAATAATTTGGTTTAGCGCCTGAAATGATTTTGAAGATTGACTTCAAGATTTTATGTTTGCAAATGAAAATCTAAATTCATTGCTAGTAGTATTCTAAATACAAAAGTTTGTGTTGGCTTTTGCCGAACTATCATATAACTATATGGTAAGTTTCTACTTTGTCGTATGTCGTCTCTGGTTCGAGGTCTTCTTGCAATTCCGGGTAGTTCTCTTATCGTTCGGAATATTGGCTTTGATCTATTGAGTCGTAGAGACATTTCGATTAAATTATCGTCGTGTAACATTTTAAAAATGTTTTGTCTAAATTCTAATCTATTTTTGGTTAATTCTAAGCTATTAAGGTCTTGTTCGAGACTTATGGTCGCACCAGATGAGTTAAGACCGAAGTGTATAACTCATAGAGTAATTTCGGATAGGGTACACCGTCTGCTCGTCACGCTATCTTATTTTCGGCCGGATAGATTCGTGCAACTTCTTAGTCTAATACCAATCCTAATCTTACTCTTATACTATCTAGTCTCAGGTTGTTTAACTAGTCTCTGCTAGGCTCAATAGATCTAGGGTATACTGGTTTATTGCGGTTGCTGAAGTCTTCTTGGAGAGTCAACTAATTTCTAAGTTAAATTCAAATCTCTCTGGTGCTGAAATTACAAGTAATTTCAGCACTTACAAATAAGTGGATTGTTAGTTAGATGGATCATGATTGGTTAATATTAAATACTTTACATTGGTAAAATATCTAATTTATCCAATCATAAAATGTAGTTTAGATCAGGTTCCAGTGTGTTCCCATAAACCAAAAATTTTTGATTTTTTCTTTCTAACTTTAGTTTCTGGAAAATTTTCGATTGTAGTTGCAACAGAACACAAGTGACAAAGACCTTGGTTACGCAAAACACCAAAGGTTGGACTGTCATGCATTTACACTGCATAGAAAACGACCTGAATTTGGCCGTCTTTCACAATTGATATAACAAAAGTAACAAACTTTTTTTTTTTGGCAAAATTTTTTAATGATGATTATATTAAACTTTTGAATTTTCAAATTATCAGACATTGATCAAGGCGTAAATTAACACCCCATACAAAAGAAAGAAGAGTTTTCAGCGTTTTTGAAAAAAAAATTAAGTGAAAAGAAAATAAAAGCCAATTTTATCATATCCAGGACTACGTTATGCACACGAAATATTAAATTTCGCATGCAAAATTTTTTTTTTTCGAAAAATGTTTGTTTGCGTACGAAAATCGATTTCCGGTTGAAAAAAAAAAAAACAAAAAAATTTTTGGGCTAAATTTTCAAAATTACTTGAAAAATTTTTTGTGTCGCCACCAAAAAAAATGCCAGTCATACAATTTCCATATATGGGAATTGTATGATAAGCATTTTTTTCAAAAAACGAAAACCTCAGTTTTTTTATAACCAGATTGTTTTATAAGAAACAAACAGTCACAGAAATGAATTTATACCAGTTTTCAACCATTTTTAGAAATTGTATGAAAATTGTATGACAAGCATTTTCCCACACACTCGATGTATGGAATTGTATGATAAGCATTTTCGGTGTATGGAGGTCAACCCGGGACCCTCTGTTGGCAAGCTTGCATCACATTTGCCGGTAGTATTAATTTGGCCAATACAGCATCTTTTCAGCGAAACAGTGGGTATTGGATCTTGGTGGTTCTTTTTGAATTTTGGCCCGGTAAAGCTGTTGTTCGGATCTTTGCAATAATTTTTAGTTTTTCGCATGTTTGACTTATCAGATGTTTGCACGATACCCATTATGATTGTTTGTCCTTTTTTGACAGCTAAATTACATTATTCTCCATAGACAGCTGTTGAGGCGCATTGTTTTCCAGAACTTGTAATATTTCAGGAACAAAACTTTATAAGCGGGAAAAAAGTATTGTAGTTAATTTTGAAAAATTCTTGGACGCTGAACTTGTGTACAAAACGTATGGCAAAAAAAACTGAACCAATTTTTTGGCGATTTGTTTGGTCCACAAGTAACATGCTATAGTACTCTCTTAGTTTGGAACCATCTTTTTTCATTTTTTAACTGATTTGCAAAAAAGCTGCCGAATAATCTTAGGTTTCAAATTGAGTTGAAATAAAAAAAACAGACCCGGTGTGCGGCTAATTTTTAACCATTACACTCTATGGTGGACAATGGTGGTTAAAAAATAAGCGCTTACAGCTGAAAAACTTATCTCGCCTTAGTCTGCCTTGAGCAGTTTTCAAGCAAAGTGTGTGTGTGTGTGTGTGGAAGGGGGGGGGGGGTTGAGCAGTTTTTTGTCTAAAAACACGGAAAACGCCCGTCAAACCTATAATTAGTAGAACAGTAACTAACCTTTTACACATTCCGTTATAACTGCATCTACTCCATGTAAAGTCCCTCCCCCCACCACCCACGCTCTACAGCTGGAGAGAGCCCTGCAGAATCCCCCCTTGAAGTGGGTCAGCTGGGAAGCCGTGAGGGGGAAACGATCGGAAGTTCCGACCACTGAGATGACAATATCTGGGATTGACAGTTTCCATTTGTTGCACAGGATGTCTGAAATAAAATTTAGTCTGATTTTTTCTGCTTCCGAGAAATAACGTATTATGAACTTTGGTTATTTCAGACTCCATATTTAAAGATCCGACATTTTTTGCGCATAATAACCACGGCTTTTATAAGCTTTCAAAAATATCGAAAAAGTAATCACGTTTAAACTTTCAGATGTCATTCCAGCTGCGATAGACTCTAATCGCAAATCTCATTTGAAAAGTGGTTTAAATAATTGGAGTATTGTCTGGTATGAAGCATAGAGTATAATCTAGGACTTATAAAACAGAAATTCACGTTCAAAGTTCGAAACGAGTGTCGGATTTAGAGACTCAATTTATCAATCGGCCGCACCAGAAAATTTTAAAATCTTTCAGTCTTCTCGTCCAACTTCGAACGTCTCAACCATGATTGGACTGCACTAAACATGTTTTTTTTTAAAAAAAAACGAATCATAAATTTTAGAAGCTTTTCGACGTGATTTAATTTATTGGATAATGAACAAAAGATCAACACAATTTTTCCTGTAAAAGTTTCACGAAGCTTTTGCAATTGGAAGATTGTTTTTTTTTTCAGATCTGCGAAGCATATTTGATTGTGACAACCTTATTGATTTGATTGGCTTCTGCCGCCGCATGTTTTTTGTATCAAAGCTCTGAGTCGCATTGCATTGTCTTATTGATGAAAGAAAAATAATCATTTTGTCTGATTGAGCTATTTGAAAATTTGTTTAAAAAGTTTAACTTGTAAATGCCTTGTTATATCACAGAACATATTTAAATGAGGTGATGGTAAAAGAAACAAAAAGAAGCCAGACTGTGCACTGGATAGGCGCACATTGTGGTGGTTGTAGGTCTCTGGCAAGCAGACACAAGTCTTTAAAAATAATTTTGTCGGAACGATCAAAGAAGACGACAGAACAAAGAAAGAAGAACAAAGAGAGACTTCTTTGTTGCGGATTCCGTTTACAACAAAACACACAAGGTGGCCTCGTAATGAAAAATCTCTTCGATTGGTTTTTCAATAAATTTTTTAAATTAGATAACTTTTCATGCTAATATTTAGCCACCATCTTAATCCCCTTCTCGAGATATTGTTTCAATCGGGTTCACTGCATCTTAAGAGCTTAGTCGAGGTATAGTTTCCCGCAGTGGAATTCCAAGGAAAATAACCAATTTTATTGTCATTTTATAGTCAGTATCAATAAAACTCCAAAAATGCATAATAATCTTAGTATTTTTATATCAATAAAATCCATTATATTTGATTACAATCATTTATAAAGTAATTTAAGAATAATTTATGACTTCTGCATTTTTTTTTTCAAAGTTATTTCAGTTCCTGTTTCGTGTGCAGTTGCACCGTATTACTTTTCATTAATTTTTACATTTAACATTAGATTTTATTTATTGAAGTTTTTCTCTACTTTTTTTCTACTTAACGTAAATTCCATCACCCCTTTACTCCTCTTTTCGCCCACTGTTTACCCCTCGTCAGTTTACACCCCCTCCTCCCCGTTTACTGAGTTTGAGCAACAAAATGAGGGAAGGGTTGGAAAAAAGACTTAGGTGAGGCTGTTAAAATGGAGAATGGGGTAAATATAAATACTGGGGTGATGCGTGGGAGATCTCGGGGTTAACTATAACTTGGGAAGTAGGCGGTAAGCTTTAGTAAACATGAGGGTGGGTGTAGGGATAAACGTACGGGATTGGTTTTAACGCGGGTGTTAGGGGAGGGCAAATGCGGATGTGGGAAAAAGAGGGGTGTTAAATTAGGTAGTTTAAGATTGAGAGATGGCCGTGACTAACAAAGAAATATTGCGAATTTTGCACATGATTTTGCAAAAAAAAAATTGTAAAGATTATAATCCGCTATAATCAATTATAATGGATTTTCAATCGATTTCAATCCATTATGATTGATTTTAATGGATTGTGTTTTTACAAAAAAAAATCACTTATAATGACAATACAATCGATTTCGTGGTCTAAATTTGTAACAACAATGGATTATAATGACGTTATTTTAAACAAAAACTTTCCATTATAGTCAACGAATGTCCATGAAACACCGATGTGGGTTGATTTTGCACAACTAGAACATAAGAAAGTGACGTTTTTGCAACTTTAATTGGTGAAAAAAAACATTGTTCAAACATATTTCTGGAAAAAAGCCAGTCATACAGTTCCGTTTACGGTATGAAAAAACTAGTTCATCAATTGCATTCAACGAAAACTGCGAATAATGCAATTTCAATACCATTTTTGTTCCAAATTTTGAAAAAAATAATGCTCGGGCGGTTTCTTTATACACACCAATTCTCAAAATTATTTCTCTGGGAGATCGATTCCGAAGGGCGCACTCACCACTATATTTAAAAATTGCGGTGAAACGCTCAGTAAAAGACTAACTTGGCTAAAGAGCACTGTGTTACTCTGATGCTGAAAGCTTAACGCGCATTATTTACGCGTGGCGAATTATCCCGCACCACAAAATTGTTCCAAAATCAATTGAGGCAAGTTAATTAGTCCTATTAATTCCATACAAATTTTCTAATCTTCAGCTTGGAATTCCTTATTTGTCAAAGTTTCAATAACCAAAAACTATTCGAGATCAGTTTATGGACAGTTGGATTCGTTTTTGATTTTGAGTTGTATTAGTTTTAGATTTTAACATTGGATAAAAGAGAGCTTTTGTACGCCAAAAAAAATTAATCAACTAGAGTGAATAAAATACTTTTTTAAATTGAAACCTACACCCACAAGATTATGATAACTATTTTTTAACAAAAAAGCCACTGAAAAAAGCCACGGGGGGTTGGGTGGTTGGGGATCTTGGGTTTAACTGTAACTTGGGGGGTTGGGGAGCAAACTTCACTAAACATGAGGTTAGGGGTAGGGATAAAAGTTTGGCAGTGGTTTAAAAGCGAGCGTGAGGGGGGGGGGGGGGGGGCAAACGCGGATGAAATGAGAAAAGTGAGGGGATGTTAATTTGAGTAGGTTTAGATTGCGAGAAGGCCGTAAGTAACGTAGAAAAGTTGAAAGTTTTGCAAATTATTTTGCAAAAATTTGTGAAGTAAAATCATCTATAATGGATTTTGAATGGATTATAATGGATTGCGTATTTAGGAAAAAAATCGATTATAATGAAAATATAATCGATTTCGTGGTCTAATTTTGCAGCTATAATGGGTTATTATGACAACACTTAGACAACAATTTTCCATTATAATCGATTATGATCCATAGAACTCCGGTGCAGGTCGAGTGCTCGAGATATGTTTCAATCGTGTTCACTCCATCTTAAGAGCGTAGTCTAGGTATAGTTTGAGTGCTCCAGATATGTTTCGACGGTGTGGGAGATGGCTTTCGATCAAGTGATTCGACCATATCCTATTGAGTTTGGTTAAGATCTCATTTCCAGCTAGGAAGAGCTAATCGTAATTAACTCTGTAATTATGATTTTTCCCCAGTATTCTCAGAGTTCAACTCTTGTAAAATTTTTTGCAAGGAATCTTGCAAAAAAATAAAAGATATAGCTTTTTTTTGAAGTTTCTTGGGAAGTTTGCTCTCATTTTTCTCATTTTGCAAGTTTCTTACATCTTTGATACCTTAGGAAGAAAAAAGCAAGAATTCTGCATTCTAAGTTTTGCAAAAATGGCGACAGTTCACCCAATATTGAACAAATATTCATTGCCCAAAATTTTACCACACGGTCAAATTAATTCTAATCAAATTCTAGTTATCTATGTCGACCGTTAACGCAATGGTTAACAATTGTTTATCGCCCAACTCTTTATCATTTGAGCAAACCGTCTTTTGTCAAAAGTCTACGTATCTGTGTCGACAGCCAACCCAAATTAACTTTTGTAGGACTCCCCAATTTAGCAGTTACGTTCATGTGGTTAGTATTTAATGATTCACATGATAAGCGACAATAACTCAACAAGTCAGCGAAATCTGAATTCAGCTATTTTTTTGCAGTTTTTGCTAAATTCAGTGCTTTTTAAAGTTACTGTTAGTCTGAATTATTCGAGCCTAGGGCAAAAATAACTTAAGAAAGTTACACTAAAACTTGCAAAACCAAGGTTCTCAAACATATTTTCATCATTGTTTGACAAAAAAAGGATCATTAGAAAAATTCTACCCCTAAATAATCTTTATGTAAAAGACTATTAGCAAGAAAATAAAAAAAAATGATATGTGTTGCGATTACTTCAAACTTCGAATTCCCAGGGAAAAAGTAAATGGCCCGAAAGCTCTCTGAAATTCTTGAACAATTTATGATTGACACTTTTTCGATAAAATTAATGCAATTAATGCAATGTAAAATTTTTATTTCGATGGGAAATCTGGTGATCAAACTCCAGGTCGAAAAAAGATATTCGATCACTTTTTTTGTGATCTTTACACTTTCGCTGTCCGATAGATGGTTTGCTATCCGTAAATAAGGAAATAAAATGAACTTAAAAAAATCAAAAGTCAAACCGCAGAAATTTGATTTTTAGCTGGAACAACATTTAAGACTTTTCCTGTAGAAAAAAAAATTAAAAAAAAACAATACAACCTAAAACATTACAACAAAAAAAAACATTAAAAATACGCAAATGTAAATAGTTGTTTCAAAATGCATAAATTAAAAATCACAAGTGAAACTCTTATGTTATTAAAGGAATGCAAAGCTTTAAAATTCTAGCCTGATTTTTTTGCAAAATTATAATAAAAAAAAACTCTAGGTTCGAAAAGACACTTCTTTGATTCAGTTTTGGACTAAATTTAAGAAATATTTTACTTCAAAGTTAATATCTTCATTATAATTGAAATTCAGAACAAAAACGTTGAGCCCATTCACGAAAGTAGATCAGAGTGTGAAAAACTGTCTAATTAGTTATGTGGAAGTTTTTCAGTTATTCGAGTCAGTTAGTGACAACTTATTTTCAAAAAATGTACTTCTATCACAAGTTTTACTTAAAATATTTAGTCGATCCCGCTTAAACTGATAAACAG